GGAAAGAGGACGGTCATACACGTTCCTCAGTGTGACCCCACATGAGCAACTTCCCTCAGCCTGTGGGTGTCAGGGATGGGATGACCGTGGAACACCTGGCACAGTGCACATGCTGGATGCTAGACAAGATCCATCTTTTTTAAATTTTCCTCCATACTCAATGCATTCGCTTCCTATGGCTGCTGTAACAAATGGCCACAAACTTAGTGTTTTAAAAACACACCTATGTTATCTTATGGTTTTGGAGGTCAGGGTCTCACTGGGCTGGAAATCAAGGTGTCAGCAGGGCTGTGTTCCTTCTGGGGAGAATCTGTTTCCTTTCCTTTTCCAGCTTTTAGAAGCTGCCCCCATGCCTTAGATCTTGGTCTCCAGCCAGCAACTGTATCACTCTGTTATCACCCCTCCACCTGTGATTCTCCTACCTCCTTCTTTCCTCTGAAGGACATGTGTGATTACATGGGGGCCACCCAGATAATCTAGGAGAATCTCCCCATCTCAAGATTCTTTTTAAAAAATTTTTCTTTTGCTATTTTATTCTATTCTATTTTATTTTTACTTTGGCTGCACCGCACGTCTTAAGGGATCTTAGTTCCCTGACCGGGGATCGAACCTGTGCCACCTGCAGTGGAAGCACGGAGTCCTGACCACTGGACCGCCAGGGAAGTCCCTCAGGATTCTTAACTTAATCACACTGCAAAGTCCTTTTTACCATGTAAGGTAACGTATTCATAGGTTCCGGGGATTAGGACACGGACATCTTGGCGAGGGGGTGGTGCTCACTAGTCTAGCTACACTGCTATCTCCCCAAACTTACTGGGGAACCTCAGAACTCGTCATAAGGTAGACATATGAATCAAAGTTATATTCTTCAACAGAATTTCTGGCTACAGGTATACCATTAATGCATGAATACTTCCCCCTCATGTGACGTTGTTGGTGGACTAATTGGTCAAAGAGGTGAAATGGCAGAGCTGGTTGTCGGCACTGAGCACGGCTAACAGTCTCACATTCTTACTGTCAAACCAAAGATTTCGGATAGAAGAGTCTGGCAACACGAGGGGGCAGTATTTAAAACAGTGACAGGGACACCTACACCTACTGTAAAATAGCTAGAGTACACAGCACCCCCAGATGTGTGTGCGTGTCACACACACTTTGTGGCTAATGATCCTGCATCACCAGTACCCTCTCCTAAAAATCTCATCTCTCTTTTTGTTTTGGCCACACATCACGTGGGATCTTAGTTCCTCGACCGGGGATCAAACCAGTGCACCCTGCATTGGAAGTGCAGAGTCTTAACCACTGGACCGCCAGGAAAGTACTGAAAAATCTCAGCTCTTATCCAACACTCCCCTGGCAGAATCTAACCTATGTAAACATAGGGACCACATCTACCTCTCATCTGTCCCTAGCAACCAAGAGTGTTTGTCCAACGTGGGTGCTTAATAAATGGTCAAGCCTCATTATTCATGGACTTTGCATTCCTGAATCCGCCTCCTTGCTAACATTGGTGTCCCCAAAAACCGATATTTTCAAATCAATAATGTGCAGAGCAGAGAAAAATTTGAGTTGTCGGTTGCACATGCTCCTAGCTGAGGTTGGAATTTTTCAGCTGTCACACCATAAACAGGCATCCTTTTCACGGTCCAGTTAACACCACGATTTTTTGCATTTTCGTGTTTTTTGTTGTTGGTGGTGGTGACTTCATTGTTTAAAATGGCCCCCAAGGGTAGTGCTAAGGTGCTGCGTAGTGTCCTAAGGGTAAGAAGGCTGGGATGTGCTTTATGGAGAAAACATATGTATCACATAAGCTTCCTTCAGGGATGAGATCTAGTGCTGTTGGCTGTGAGTTCAATGTTAATGAATCAATAATATGCATTAAATAAAGTGTCTTTAAAAAGAAACACACAAAACAAGGTTATGTATTGATTGGTTGAAGAAAATGTGACACAAGTGAACTTATCTATGAAACAGAGACAGACACACAGACATAGAGAGCAGACTTGTGCTTGCCAAGGGGGAGGGAGGCTGGGGGAGGGATGGATTGGGAGTTTGGGATTAGCAGATGTAAGCTATTATCTATAGGATGGATAAACAAAAAGGTCCTACTGTATAGCACAGGGAACTATATTCAATATCCTGTGATAAACCATAATGAAAAAGAATATATATATATGTATAACTGAATCACTTTGCTATACAGCAGATATTAACACAACAATATAAATTAACTATACTTGAATAAAATAAATTTTAAAAAATGTGACCAGAGGCTCCCAGGAACCTAACCCTGTATTCCCGCAGGAGCAATGGTTCAGTATTCGCTAATTCAGCATTTGCTAATTCAGTATTCACGGCAACTTTACAGAACACAACTGCCACAAGTAATGAGAATCGGCTGTATTTGGATAAATGAGGACTCCCCACTGTAAGAAAACACAGAGGCGGAGGTGGAATTTTCCACGGAAGGATGAAATATAGAAGCTATCAGGAGGGGCAGGATGTGGCACTTATCAGGTCGCTTCGTCCTGACAATTTCCACGTTCCCCACTGCTTTCTGCTCTTTGTAATAAAGCTACAAATCCTCACAGGGCAGCGAGTTGGACTCACATCAGCCTCTGTAGACCACAGTTGGGAAGTTTCACGGCTCGACACAGCAGATTCATGCCTTCACTCCCCAGGCTGTTTCCTGACAGGTACAGGTGTGTCAAGCTCTGGTTCTTGGTGAGAGCCGAGGCCAGATCCTGGCAGTCAGTGGCTGTGAGGCCGCAGTTCCCCAGTCTGCAAGGAGAGAGTCCCAGAAAGGCAATGATATCTATTCTTAGATTTCCATCTCTCCCTCCCTTGCAAGGAAGGGAGAGAAAGGTCACCCCCATAGCTGACACGCCCTGGCAGATATCTGGTGATGTCACATCATGTCTGCGTTTAACTTGCAAACTCAACTCCAGTGATTCAGTCCCCAAACTGCACTCTGAAAGAATGAAATAATGCCATTTGCAGCAACCTAGAGATGGTCATACTGAGTGAAGTAAGACAGAGAGAGACAAATATCATATGATATTGCTTATATGTGGAATCTTAAAAGAAAAGATACAAATGAATTTACAAAACAGAAATATGACTCACAGACATAGGAAACAAACTTATGGTTACCAAAGGGGAAACGTGGCGGGGAGGGATAAATTAGGAGTTTGGGATTAACAGATACGGACCACTATATATAAAATAGATAACAAATAAGGACCTACTGTACAGCACAGGGAACTCTACTCAATGTCTTGTAATAATCTACAAGGGAAAAGAATCTGAAAAAGAATATATATATATATATATACATACATATATATACCTACACATATACATTTTTTATCTGAATCACTTTGTTGTACACCCAAAACTAACACAACATTGTAAGTCAACTATACCTCAAATCAAAACAGAACAAAACAAAACAAAAATACTACTCTAAATATCGTGGGTGACTAAATCTTCCATCAACCACCATGGTCAGCACCTGGGCAATGCAAATCTGCTCTCTATCTGTCTGTTTTACTGTGGTGTGAGGTTTTGCAGAGATGGGTGACTTCCCTATTTGGAAGGACTTCCATTTAATACACCATGACCCATAGATATAAACTAGATAGTCCACCACTTTCGCAAAGCTTAAGAAGCAATAGAACTTGAAAATGAGAGTTTAATAGTACTGCTCTCATGGGATTGTGACAAAATTAGATGAATTGACACATCTGATGTGCTTAGAGCAGTGCAATGCACATAGCAAGCACTTCCGCTGTATTATTGGTGGTGGTTTCTTTCAGTGGAGGAAGAAACGCTTGCTGGGTTGGACTTGAAAGGGATCAGGACAGGCCCACCTCAAAAATATGCTACTTTGACTTAAACAGTATTTTGAGCTGGAGGCAATTAAGAAAAATCAGACACAGGAGGAGCTCTCTGCCTTCCACCTATCTGCCGGAAAGCAGGGCACACATTTCCCCCACTTCCTGTACCAGGGAAAGAACAACCTTTATCACAGAGATAGAGGTGGCACTGAGGCAAGTCTTCCTATAACCCTTATTATCTATTAGTTTCCCCCATTTACTTCCTAGTCACCTTCCCATAATTTATCAGCCCATAGAAGCCCCAAACCCCTTTCCTTTGTCTAGTCACTTCTCCACAATTCATTACCTTTTGTTAAAATGGTATATAAGCTACTGAGTCTAACTGCTTCTTGGGGTTTTTCACTTCCTTTCTGTGAAGGCCCCATGCGCATTAAAAAAAAATTAACATCAATAAAATTTGTATGCCTTTTCTCCCGCAAATCTGTCCATTGTCTGTTTAATTTGCAGGCCCCAGATACTGATCATAAGAGTGCAGAATAAAGTTTTTCTCCCCGACCCCTCCACAGGTTGATGGCTAGAAGGTTATGTTGGCTCCCACTGTGATTTTTTTCCCTCCTTCTGGGCTTGAAAGGGTAATTAGTGCCACTTGGTTTTCCACTTTTGCTCTGATTCAGAACCAAACTCCCACTGAAGGAGGATGCTCCTGCCACCGCATGCTTTGGGAATGGTGGGGAGAAACAACCTTGTCCAAATTGTGGGATGTCAAGGAGGAAATTCCCAGGTAACAGATCAGTTCCCTAGGTATCAAACGGGAGCTCAGATTTTAGTTGTGCCTTTTATTCCCTGTATGACCTGAGACAAGAGACTTCCCTTCTTCTGGATTCTGTTTTCCTTATCAGCGAGTGGGAGGAAAAAATTCCCAGCTGGTAGGTTGCTTGTGAAAATGATGTTAATGGGAGAGAACACTTAGCACAGAGCCTGGTGCTTAAGGATGCCATAGATGGCAGCTTAACCACAATCCTACGTCTCTTTGGGATTTTGGCATTGGAGAAAGTTTCAAGTATACAGTACAGTATTGTTAACTATAATCTGAATGCTGTATGTTAGATCCCCAGAACTCTTATAACTGGTAGTTTATACCCTTTGGCACATATCTCCCCATTTCCCCAACTCCCAGCCTCTGGCAACCTCCATTCTACTCTGTTTCTTCAAGTTCAGCTTCTGCTCTGGTCTTTTATATCAGTTTGGAGTCAGTAGCAAAGACATAGATGTTAGTTTTTGGGTCTTTCTCCAACTCCACATTGGGCTCTCCCATGAGGTCCCATCTCCCATTCTAACCCTCGGCTTACTCAGCCAATTCCCCTCCCTTTTCCCCCAGACTTGGATGATCTCAAGAGAAGATAACTCTGGTGAACAGAGTTCAACTCACATAAGCTTCTGCAGGGTGCACTGTGTGACCTTCAAGGCATCACAGAGAGACTTTATGCTCTGGTCCGTCACCTTATTTCCTGCCAGGCTCAGGGATTTCAGGCTGATGGACGTAACAAGCATTTGGGCGATCACCTGACAACAGGTGTGGGTTAATTCACAGTGATCCAACCTGCAGAGACAGGCAACGGGAGACACATCCTCACCTCTTCCCAGAAGCAAGCCATTTCCCCTCCTTCCCCGCACGGCAGCCACTCTGTCCATTTGGCTGGTTCCTGGATGCTGTTTGCTCTGGCCTGAGGGTCTGAGCATTTGCTGTTTCTGTTTGCAGCACCCCTTCTCATCCCAGCCCCAGGTCTTTTTGTGGTTCAATTTTCCATTCATTCTCCAGAGCGTCATTTATTCTGAGTAAGTGGGTCTCACTACCTTCCTTAACTATGCCTGCCCTGCCTTACCCAACCCCATCCTCTTGCTTCAGTATTATTTTATTCATAGCAATTATCAAAAGCTGACATCACATATATTTATCTGACATATAACATTGTGTAAGTATCAGGTGTCACTTGATATATTTATACATTGCAATATGTATACATTGATTTGATACATTTATGTATTGCAATATTATTGATTGCCAATGTAGCGGTAGCTACAACCTGTATCACATCACGCGTTATCATTTCTTTTTTTGTTTGTTTTTGGTGGGAATAACTAAGATCTAGTCTCCTAGCAATTTTGATGTTTATAATACAATACTGGGGCGTCTAGAAACATTATAATGTGCATTAGCTCTCCAGGACCTATTTATCTATTGGCAAGTTGGTACCCTTAAATAGTATATCCTCTAGGCCTGATATGTCATGTAATCTGCCTTTTTGCAAGTAGCTTTACCATCTGAAACATGGAGATAACCGCTACCAATCACAGTGGTGCTTGTGAGGATTAAAAGAGTAAATACCGCAGCCAGGCATTGCTCTAATTGTGCAAACCTGTTCTTGCTTTTACCTGGATGCAGAGTTGGACTACATTTCACAGCCTGCCTTGCAGTGAGTATGATCACACAATTGAGTTCCTGCTAAGAGAATATGAGGGGAAGTGATCTGAACCACTTCTGGGTCAGGCCCATAAGACCTCCAGGTTTCCCCAAGCTCCCTCTGCTTCTATAAGCAGACTGCCTGTGCCCAGCAGGGTCTTGGAAGCTGTGTGTTAACAGTTGGACCTGGGCTTCCCTGGTGGCACAGTGGTTAGGAATCCGCCTGCCAATGCAGGGGACACAGGTTTGAGCCCTGGTCCACGAAGATCCCACGTGCCGCAGAGCAACTAAGCCCGTGCACCACAACTACTGAGCCTGCTCTCTAGAGCCCGCAAGCTACAACTACTGAGCCCACATGCCACAAATACTGAAGCCCGTGCACCACAACTACTGAGCCTGTGCTCTAGAGCCTGTGAGCCACAACTACTGAAGCCCATGCACCTAGAGCCTGTGCTCCACAACAAGAGAAGCCACTGCAATGAGAAGCCCATGCACCGCAACTAGAGAAAAGCCCTCATGCAGCAATGAAGATCCAACGCGGCCAAAAATAAATAAATAAATAAATTTATGAAAAAAGAAAACAAACAAATGCTGGAGAGGGTGTGGAGAAAAGGGAACCCTCCTAAGACAAAAACAAAAACCAGTAGGACCTGTTAGCCTGGACTGTTTATATAGACATCTCAATCCCCTTTGGACTGTTTATATAGGCAATAAATGCCCTACTATTATTCCTGAGCCATCATACATTTTTGCGTCTATCTGTCACAGAACCTAACTAATACACTAGCACATAGAAAACAATCTCAATTATTTGCTCTGTTGGGTTTTAGATGGAAGTTTTAGAGTTCTCCAAACATACATGCTTTGGGTGTATGTGTGCATGTATAGCTTCTCGGTTCACTTATTTTTATCTCCCCATGCTAGCCTATGAGAACAGGAACCTTGTCCCATTCATCAGGACATTGCCAGAACCCATGAGATAGTGTTATAAACATAACAGGAGCCTGTATTTGTTCAATGCAAGAAAATGAATCTCCCATTGAGCTTGCAATCAAAATCCTTCACAATGTGGCCTGATCTGTCTTTCAAAGACAGATCTGTCTCTCCCATTTAGAGATTAGCCAATCACCTCATCCCTTCTCTCCATTCAATACATCTTTGGGGCATCGTTTGGACCAGGTGCTGGGAATAAAGTAGTTCTAGGTTCTGGGAATAAGCAGTGAAGGAAACAGAACACTCCTGTCCTCATGAGTTACCAGAAGGTAAACTCATTAGGATTCCCAGAAATGGGCAGTCATTTCCCACCATATGATTTTACACTTTCTCTTTCCTTGGCCCCAAAGAGCCTCTCTCTCTCTCCTCTTTTCTGACAGTGTGTGTCTTATTTATTCTTTGAATCCAAGCTCTAGTTACCCTATTAGTGAAGCATGAAGAGAGACAGAGACAGAGAGACAGAGACAGAAAGAGACACAGAGACAGAAAGAGACACAGAGACAGAGATGACAGAGAGAGATTCATCTCCTCATTCCCAGAGATGCTTGTAAAACCCACATGGCATTTAGCAGACACATCCACATTTCCATCCTGTAAGGACTTCTACTCTCTGACTGACTTCCTTGGGTTACGTTTTTAAATGTGCAGCTTGCAAGTTAACATAAGGTGCAAAGCAAGCTACTCTTCCACACTTGTGGTGTGTCAGTCAATGAAGCTGAAAAGACCTCACGCTCATCTGTCTCAAAATACGCCAAAAGCACCAAGGAGTAGTGGTCTTTAGCTCCAGCTAATCTAATTGGCAAGACACATGCCCAGGAATTACAAAACTGTGGTAATAACTCCAAACTGGAAATGACCAAAATGCCCCTGAATTGGTGAATGGCTACACTAACTGTGCACATCTGTATCACCGAATGGTACTCAGTAATAAAAAGGAACACACTGTTGATACATGGAACAGCTTGGACGGATCTCAAGGGCATTTACAAATTGATAAAAGCCCATCTCAGGCAATGACATACTGTATGATTCCATTCATATAGTGCTGTTGAATGAAAAATTATAGAGATGGCAAACCTGTGTGTGTATACACACACACACACTCACACACACACACACTCACACACAAGGGGATACTACTCAGCCACAGAAAGGATGAAATCTTGCCATTTGTGACAACATAATACCCTCAAGTTCAATTTGTGTTAAGTGAAATAAGACAGAGAAAGACAAATACCATATGATTGCACTCATAATGTGGAATCTAAAAAACTGATAAAGAAAACCCCCAAATAAATGAACAAACCAAATCAAAACAAACATGTCGATACAGAGAACAGAGTAGTGGTTACAGGGTGATGAGGGAGGTCTACTGCATAGTGACGGAGAGAAAACAAATTTTTGGTGGTGAGCATACTGAAGTGTAGATGGAGGTAGAAATATAATGTTGGGGGCTTCCCTGGTGGCGCAGTGGTTAGTAATCTGCCTGCCAACGCAGGAGACAAGAGTTCGAGCCCTGGTCCGGGAAGATCCCACATGTCGCGGAGCAGCTAAGCCCGTGTGCCACAACTACTGAGCCTTCGCTCTAGAGCCCGAGAGCCACAACTACTGAGCCCGTGCGTCACAACTACTGAGCCTTTGCTCTAGAGCCCGAGAGCCACAACTACTGAGCCCGTGTGCCACAACTACTGAAGCTCGCATGCCTAGAGCCCGTGCTCCGCAACAAGAGAAGCCACCACAAGAAGCCTGTGCACCGCAACAAAGAGTAGCCCCCGCTCACCGCAACTAGAGAAAGCCTATGCGCAGCAAAGAGGACCCAACACAGCCCAAAATTAATGAATTAATTAATTAATCAAAAAGAAATATAATGTTATATAAGTTTCATATATACAAGTCAATGTACCACAATAAAAAATGTTTTAACAGCCTAAATAAAATTGGTTTTTGCCAGAAAAAAAAATTGAAAGTTACTTTTTTCTTGTGAAATATACATAACACAAAATTTACCATCTTAACTTTTCAGTGTACAGTTCAGTGGCATTAATTATATACACACAGTTGTGCAGCCATTGCCACCAACTTCATCCAGACTCCTGATTCTCTATAATATTTTAGCAGCTTTCTGTGAATGATTATTTCAAAATAAAAAGTAAAAACAATAAAGCCCTGAAATCCGCAAAGCAAAAACCATACCCAGGACTTACCTCAGAGACTCCAGCAAACAGTTTGGGTGCCTTACTGCTTCACATGCCATCATGACATCTCTATCCTTCAGATGAGTGCTTTCCAAGTCCAGGTATTTAATATTTCGGTTGATAAGAGTTAGCCAGAGGTGACGGAGACCAGGGGTAATCTGGGCACCTGTAAATCTACAGAAGAGAAAAGAAAACACTAGTTAGACATTTGGGTGACATTTGGTTGTATCCTAATGTTTCCTTCTTGCTCTTTCTTGCATTTCAACTCTGATCTCTCATTATTTGCATTTACAATTGCCCCTCAAATAACATGGACTTAAACTGCACGAGTCCACTTGTACATGGATTCTTTTTCAATAAATATATAAAAATATATATGTAGAACATTGTGTGCAAAACTTGAAGTGGATAGCTTATCATTACACAGGAATAAGATGAGTGATATTCAGTATAAAATTAATGTGTTTGTTTTCTCACTGTTTTATAACTTTGCTTTCAAAGATTTGCATAACTGTACAGTCTGCCTTTCTCTCTCATAATTGTAGACACTATCAGCTGATCGTCACAGGTGTTTTTTTTAAATGTAACTATGTTTCCAATACTGTATTATGAGTATGACTGTAATATGGATGCCATAAAAATTTTATAATGGGCTTCCCTGGTGGCGCAGTGGTTGAGAGTCCACCTGCTGATGCAGGGGACGCGGGTTCGTGCCCCGGTCCGGGAAGATCCCACATATCGCGGAGCGGCTGGGCCCGTGAGCCATGGCCGCTGAGCCTGCGCGTCCGGAGCCTGTGCTCCACAACAGGAGAAGCCACAACAGTGAGAGGCCCACGTACCGCAAAAAAAAAAAAAAAATTTATAATGATTCATTCATTAGTGTACAGGCTAGGCTACCATAAAGCAATCTTATTGCTGCTTCCTCATTATCTATGCATGAATCATTACACCTGTAAATAAATATGAATTTCTTTCACATTATATTTTCATTTTTGATGTCCACTGTTACATGTATGTATATACACATATGTATGTTATACATATAACATCTAAAGTATTTTGTATCATATAATTTTCTTTTTTATCTTAAAGCAGCAAATACTTGAGTACCTATGATGCATCAGGCACTGGGAAGAGTGTATCAAACAAATGCTAATGCTCTGTGCCCTGTGGAGCTTAACCTATCAGGGAAGACATTCAAAAGAGGCAAAAGAGTTATGCATAAGAAAGCTAAAAATAGAGCTACTATAAGATTCAGCAATCCCACTCCTGGGCATATATCCAGAGAAAGCCATAATTCAAAAAGATACATGTATCCCGATGTTCACTGCAGCACTACTTACAATAGCCAGGACATGGGAGCAACCTAAGTGTCCATCAACAGAGGAATGGATAAAGAAGATGTGGTACATATACACAATGGAATATTACTCAGCCATATAAAGAACAGACTAATGCCATTTTCAGCAATATGGATGGACCTAGAGATTATCATACTAAGTGAAGTAAGTCAGACAGAGAAAGATAAATATATGATATCACTATGTGGAATCTAAAAAAAAAATGGTACAAATGAACCTATCTACAGAACAGAAATACAATCACAGATGTAGAAAACAAACATGATTACCAAGGGGGAGAGGGTGGGGGAGGGCTAAATTGGGAGATTGGGATTGACATATACACACTACTATATATAAAATAGATAACTAATAAGGACCTACTGTATAGCACAGAGAACTCTACTCAATACTCTGTAATGGCCTATATGGGAATAGAATCTAAAAAAGAATGGATGTAGGTATATGTATAGCTAATGCACTTTGCTATGCAGCAGAAACTAACACAACATTGTAAATCAACTATACTCCAAAAAATTTATAAAAAAGGACTGAAATATGTTATAGTTCATTAAGAATAGAGCTACAGATACCTAGCCAAGTTCAAGGTGAAGAAAAAAGTCAAATGTCAGACTGTGCAATGTGATATCATTTGGATTAAAAACTTCATATGCCACTATATATTTATAACTGCATGGAAAATTTATGAGAATATGTGAGAGTAATTAGGCAAACAGGAGGCTGAAGAGGCATCAAGGCACTTACTGAAAATCCTTTGTACTTCCTGAATCTCTTTACCATTATCATGTATTAGGGTTGAATGACAAATAGTGATGACATGGATTTTTTTTTCTAGAGTTACTGTTTTTTTTATTTAACATCTTTATTGGAGTATAATTGCTTTATAATGGTGTGTTAGTTTCTGCTGTATAACAAAGTGAATCAGCTATACATATACATATATCCCCATATCCCTCCCTCTTGCATCTCCCTCCCACCCTCCCTATGCCACCCCTCTAGGTGGTCACAAAGCACCCGAGCTGACCTCCCTGTGCTATGCGGCTGCTTCCCACTAGCTATCTATTTTACATTTGGTAGTGTCTATATGGATGACATGGATTAAAGCAAGTGACAGGGTGTAACAAGAGCTTAACATAGGGGCAGCTAGTGGGGAGGGATTCCCAAGGGAAAAACAGTTAAGATGACAGCTGACAGAGCAATCAAGTTTGGTGTAGGACTTAAGGTGAACAAGGCATTATTCCTTATTCTGGGATCACCAAGCTCCTTGGCTCAGCCCAGTTTAAGGAAACTAATTAGGGAAGACATAGAAGTGGCCAGGAGAGGAAAATGTTTGCAGCCAAGAGCTTGACTTGGTCTAGTCTTCAGTGTCACGTGTGCTTCACTTGGTCCTGGAGGGAAAAATAGAAATAGAACCTTTGTTGAAGTGGAACAAGCCCTTCATTTCCTGCTCTAGGTGTCTGGTAAGTACGCTGGCATCTCCAACAGACCCAGGAACTTATTGGGTTGGCCCAAAAAGTTCATTTGGGTTTTTCCAAAAGATGTTATGGAAAAACCCGAACGAACTTTTGGGCCAACCCAATATATTGGATATTTAAATATTTGTTACCTTATTAGCCTAAAAGCGTTAAGGACTGATTTAAAGGCTCTCACAGATCATGCACTTTGATCTTGCTATTGCCTCATGCTCTACCATTTATTGAAATGAGCCTCCCTCACTTTTCCTCCACTAACAAACTCCTATTTATCCTTCAAAACCCCGAGTAGATGAACCCACCTTAGTAATCCCTTCACAAGGTCTTTAGTCATTCCCCATCCTGTGCTTTTGGGAACTTGGTTCCTGTACCTTTCATGGCACTTATTCCCTCCAAATACATTTTATAGATTGGTCTTCCTCAGTAGGTGGGAGAGGAGAGCCATGACACAGCCAGGTAAAGGGGCATGTAACAAGGGCTGGGAAGCCTTACATCAGATTCTGTATTTTACAGGTTGGCTGCCTCAGCTTGATGCAGAGGGTCTTCATGGCCTCTTCACTCAAGATGCTGCCGCTCAGGTCGAGCTGTCGTAGGTTTGGGTGGGTGCTGAGCACGGAGCAGAGGTGTTCCCAGTGCTCATCATGGGTCTTGATCTGCAGGCTATGTTGGAGAAGGAAATAAGCATTTGCTTCCACAGGATGGATTTTGACATGAACAACTGCCCCCAAAATGCCCTGGGAGAGAAACCAGTGTATTAGGGCGGGACAGGGATGGTTTTGATGACTCTGAGGCCAGTGTAGCAGATCTCACCTCATGCTCTGGGGAAGTGCTCTCATAACCACCTGCCTCCTGAATATTTCAACACCCACGGGGTACACCTCCAGCTCTCGAGTAAGATTTGTGCTTAAATTCTAGCTCCCCCTTGAATGTCAGGGAGTGCAGCCACTACTGAAAACAGTATGGAGTTTCCCTCCCAGATTAAAAATAGAACTACCACATGATCCAGCAATCCCACTTCTGGGGGTATATCAGAGAATTGAAATCAGGATCCCAAAGAGATATTTGTACTCTATTATTCACAATAGCCAAGACATGGAAACAACCTAAGTGTCCGTCAGTGGATAAGTGGATAAAGAAAATGTGGTATACACACAGAATGGAATATCATTCAGCCTTAAAAGAGAAGGAAGTCCTGCCATTTGCAACAACTGGGATGAAGCTAGAGGATATTATGCTAAGGGAAAAAAGCAGTAACAGAGAGACATGCATGATCTCACTTACTTGGAGATTCTAAAAGAGTCGAATTCATAAAAGCAGAATGTAGAGTGGTGGTTGCCTGGGGCTGGGGGTGGGGGAAATGGGGAGATGTTGGCCAAAGGGTACAAAGTTTCAGTTCTGCAGGGTAAATACATTCTGGAGAGCTAATGTACAACGATGTGCCTAGGGATAGTAGGTAGTCTTAAGTGTTTTCACCACACACACACTCACACACACACACACACACACACACACACACACAAAGAAAATGATAACTATAAGAGGTAATGGGTATGCTAATTCGCTTGATGGTGATGATTATTTCAGGTATATCAAAACACCAAGGCATACATCTTAAATATATGCAATTTTCATTTGTCAATTATAGCCCCCCTCCCAAAGATGGAAAGAAAAAAAAGAATTGCAGAGGTAAGGTACTCACCCTTGGGGAATGCTGGGCCATGCCTCAGCAAATTCATGCTTTGGGACCTCTCTGACATCCAAGCGAATTTTCCGTAAATACTGGCAATGCCGGAAACAGAAGGAAGACACTATTAAGTCCATTGGCCGGTTCAGTGGAAGCCACACTTCTTGGAAGCTGTTCAATGCCGAGCGAACAAACTCGTCATCCTGTGTCTCAAAAAGACAGTAGAAGGCGTCAAGGAAGTCTAGCGGGGCAGTGGTGTTGGTGTGTTGACCCAACAAAGAGATCCAGTGCAGAAGCCTCTGCTTTGCCACCAGGGGGACAGGACATCCCAGGAGGGTTCCCAGCGCCCCCATCACCTCTTTGCTCATGAAGCCAAACAAGAACCTCTTCACCTGGACCAAGTGGACATTGAAGTCGATCTGCTTGAGTTCCATCAAACTCTTTACACCCTCAGTGAACAGAGGGTAGGGGTCCCCCTCTCCTTCCAATCCTTCCAGGACGTAGTACAAGGCAGCGAAGAACTCCTGGAGGCTGAGGTGTAAGAACATGTAACGCTCTTCACAGCGGCTGCCTCGAAGAAGGATGCTGGTGTGAAACAGAGCGGAGAGCTCAGGTCCCTCCAGCCCGTGAATGCCCAGGTCATCGCTGTAAAACACGAACTTCGTATTCCACACGCCTTCCGCAGCCATCTGGCACAAGCCCTTCAAGGTGACTCTTTCTTCCTGACGCAGACAGCTCCTGACTGCGTCTTTTGGAGCGAGCTGATGGAACACGAATGAGGCATACAAGCCTGTGAGAGTCTGGCAAGTGACGGAAAGGCTCTTTCCTGATGCCTCCTGCAGCTTGAGGGCCTCACAGACCAGGGAGCACACGACAGACACCTGGCACTTGTCAAACACCTCATGGTTGCCCACCACTGAACGCAAGGTTTGCATCTTTTGATGTTCAAGAAGCAACTGCATCCTTTTTTCCACTGAGAGTCCCCCAACCAACAGGTAATGGGGAGACAGGAGCACGGACTGGAGCTTTTCTATGCCTGAGTCTCGGACGGTGATGATCAGGGAGGACTCGGGAAGCAAGACTTTCTTCAGAAGACTGTGCATCAAGACGGACACGGGTTGCTTCTCCGCCCAGTCTCCAGAGAGATTTGAGTCATCGTCTTTGAAGGCGAGGCCCAGGTCCTCAAATCCGTCAACCACAAACAAGAGCCTTTCTGGTTGGGACAGGATCTCCCCCACCTGGACCTGGGTGTCTGGCCACTGCCCGGAGATTAACTCTGCAAAGCTGCACTCCCTCGTCCACTGTACCTCTCTGGCGTGGAGGAAAAAGACATAGGAGAACATGCCCTGGTAGAGCTCACCTTGTGCCCAGAACAGCAGGATTCTTCTGGCCAGAGCCGATTTCCCAATTCCCGCCTTTCCGTGTAGAACCACGGTGAGAGGCCGGAAGCCCCCCTGGTCCGGATTAAAAGCCCCCAACAACACGTGCACATCTGGACAGTCAGAGGCAAATTTTTCAAAGCTGTGGTGTGCATCCAGCTTCGTGGAGAATTTCCTCATCACGTGACTCTTATAGTCTTGTTGGTCATCTCTGTGGCCTGAGTCGGACAGGAGAGAAGAATGAGATAGAGAGTTTGAAGAAAGTCTGGATTTTAGTAAAAAAACTGGCAGAAAAGCAAAACAAAAACCGCAGACCTAGTGGATCCTAAGTCACACAGCCTACAGCCGTGGGTCTTTTGTTTCTTCCTAGCAACGTACATATAACAAGCTCTGTCCCTCGTACGAAGATCACTTCCTCAAAGCTTACGGATGTTCTGCAAAATGGCTCTGTGTCCCTTTAACTTGATTTCTCTTTCCAGGACTTCATACCTGATAGGTTACACTTTTGTTTGCTTATTGTCTGTCTCCAGCAATGGATTCTGTGCAGGGACTTTGCTACTTGCTACTGTATCTTCAGTATTTGTAACAGTGCCTGGTGCCCTGTGGACACACAACTAGGCATTCACTGAATAATCTACACTGAACATGCCTATGTGGTCTCTGAAAGACAGAGAAGCTTGGGGGAGCTGAGGATGTGTGCGTGGCCCTGCGTTCCAGACCTCGGGATGGGCGTGCACATTCAGTTCCAGCCCAGGAGTCCCGGGCTACTGTGGAGAAACAGCTCCATGTGACAGGGGATACTGCTCTTTACGAGGAGGTAAGCACAGCCTTTGAAGTTGGACCGGTACTGCCTGGAACTCGAAGCTCTATAGTGTCTGTGATTTGGAACAAGTTGCCTCATTTTCTGGACCTCCATTTCCTCACCTATAAGATGAGATGGACATCCTCTTCAAGGGCTGCGACAAATATTTAAGGAACAAAAAGTGCATTCGATATTTATCGGCACAGGGCTTGGCAAAGATGGGCAGTGGCCACTATTATCATTACAAAGTGTAATTCTTCCAACCTTACCCTCTTTATTTTATTCACGACATTTGTCATAAATGGCAATTCTTTTATGTGTTTAATTATCTAGCTCCCAGCTTCCAAGGTGAGCTCCATGAGAAAAATACCTTGTCATTTTCTCCATACCTGTAGCCTCTCTAACCGTCTCTGACATCCAATAGGTATGCACTAACATAAAAAGTTAGATGATCGTACTAAGTGGGACAGAGAAAGACAAGTATCACAGATATCACTTGTAGGTGGAATCGAAGAATGGATACAAATGAACTTCCTTACAAAACAGAAGGAGACTCACAGACCTAGAAAAGAAACTTATGGTTACCAAAATGGGACATGCGGCGGGGGGAGGGAGAAAAATATACACACCACTATATATAAAATAGGTAACTGATAAGGACCTACTGTATAGCACAGGGAACACAATACTCTGTAATAACCTATATGGGAAAAGAATCTGAAAAAGAAGAGATACATATGTTACTGAATCACTTTGCTCTACACCTGAAACGAAACACAACACTGTAAATCAACCATACACCAATATAAAATAAAAATTTTTTAAAAATTAAAAATTCCTATCCGGTCCCTTACATTTGCTGGTACTACCATTATCTTTAAAAAAAAAAAAAAAGAGAGAGAGCAAGGCTCTCTCTATACAAGCACATGAGACAGTTACTGGCCCTACATAAAATCTCTACACAAAAGTTCTAAATCTTAAACTTCATTGTTCTGCATCAGGAAGGTCATGAACAGATCTGTATTAAACCCACAAGCAGTAGACCCTCTGAGATCTGAACAAGGTCCTTTTGCTGAGGTCACACTGATGTATTATCTCCCGTCAAAAGGACAGACTGTGCTCCTGGGTTGTAGGTTTTTGTAGAGGTAGAGGAACCCCAGAAAGATAGGCTGCAGTTGAATTCAACCCTTCTTTGCCTCTTCCTCAGCCGCCTTTTCTTTTTCTTCTTTTTTTTAAATTGAAGTGCAGTTAATTTACAACGTTGTGTTATTTTCAACTATGTAGCAATGTGATTCAGTTTATATACATTTATATAACTATCTGTATATATCTATATTTATCTATATATATTTATGAGTATATAAAAACACATATTCTTTTCCAGATTATTTTCCATTATGGTTTATTATAAGATATTGAATATAGTTCCCTGTGCTATACAGTAGGTACCTGTTGTTTACCTATTTTATATATTGTTGTATATATATACAATGGAATATTACTCAGCCATAAAAAATGAAATAATGCCATTTGCAGCAACATGGATGGACCTAGAGTTTATCATATTAAGTGAGGTAAGTCAAAGACAAATATCACATGATATCACTTACATGTGGAATCTAAAAAGATGATACAAATGAACTTATTTACAAAACGAATAGACTCACAGACATAGACAACAAACTTAGGGTTACCAAAGGGGATCCTAGGGGTCGGGGGGAGACACCTTTTCTTCCTCCATGGATTTAATGATCATGTCTGTACTTAAGAGTTCCAAATATTGCTCTCTAGTGCTGATTTCTTCCCTAAAAATCCAGGATCATATGTCTAACTCACTACCTTAAAGGGACCTCAAATTCAATGCACCAAAAACCCATTTCAGCTTTTACCTCTAACCAAAAACGTACTCCTTCTGGTAAGTTTCCTGCAAATGATAATTAGAAAGAAGCTTCTATTTCTGAACTTACTTTGGAACAGATATTTGGCTCATTCCCTTATACAGAAATCTAATTTTAGCCCCACATCATCACTCTATGGTAGTTTTTCATCAATAAAATGGGGATATTAATACCTCCCTTATGAGATGGGTGTAGGATCCCACGACATAATCACAAAATGTGAGAACAGCGCCCGGCCCATGGCAAGAATTCTAGAAATGTCGTCATTGTTGGTATTTGTTACTACCCATTCCAACTGAAAATGGACAATACTGGCAGCTATTAGGTTTTCAAATATTTGTCCAAGGAATGATTAAAGTAACCCACACCTGCCAACGTAAGTTATGTTGTACAGATGGAATAAAAGCCCAGCTTGAAGTGACTTCAGAGTTTGAAATTTACTTCATTGACTTTCGGGACTTCCCTGGTGGTCCAGTGGCTGAGACTCCACGCTCCCAAATGCAGGGGGCCCAGGTTCAATCCCTGGTCGGGGAACTAAGATCCCACATGCCATGCCACAACTAAGAGTTCACATGCTGCAACTAAGATCCTGAATGTGGCAACGAAGATCCCGTGTGCCACAACTAAGACCCTGTGCAGCCAAATCAGTCAATCAATCAATCAATCAATCAATCAATCAATATTTTTGAAAACAAATCATTGACTTTCAACATCACCATCCACCAGGTTGTCTAAACAGAAAGGTGGGAGCAATTTCTGAATCTCTGTTTTTCTGAAACCCTCAACACCAAATTCTACTAGATATATCTACCCCATATCTTACTGAGATATTACTATCTTAGATCTCAATAAATATTTTTCTGTGATAATTTCCTTATACATAAATGTTAATAGCAGCATCATTCATACACATCCATTTTCCACCCCCCTCTCCCCCACTAACTTGGTGTTTCTTCCATGCTTGGACCTTGGTCCGTCTTTGTTGGTGTAGAATGTTCTGGTATTTCAGCCAGTAAGTATTCTGCAATAGAGAGTAGATGAGATAATGTCTCAATAAAGTCATGGCAATTCCCCAAATCAGGGATGAGCACATCCTCTGCCCAAATTACTGAGGGCAACAAAGACTAGTCTCAGAATCCCACGGTTTATTCCATGACTAGTCTGAAATGAGGAAAATGGAGACAGACCCTCAAATACCACCAGCACAGTGACGCAGCAGAGATTTATAGTAAAGAGTGTCTGATTTTGAGCACGTAAGTGTACATTTCAGTCCCATTTTTGCTGTATGATCCTGGGTAGGTCATGTAATAAGACAGTATATTATGGTTATTAAGAGTTAATTGTCAAGGGCTTCCCTGGTGGCTCAGTGGTTAAGAATCCACCTGCCAATGCAGGGACACAGGTTCGAGCCCTGGTCCAGGAAAATCCCACATGCCGCGGAGCAACTAAGCCCATGTGCCACAACTACTGAGCCTGCGCTCTAGAGCCTGCGAGCCACAACTACTGAGCCCACGTGCCACAACCACTGAAGCCCACGTGCCTAGAGCCCGTGCTCTGCAACAAGAGAAGCCACTGTGATGAGAAGACCGCACACCACAACGAAGAGCAGTCCCCACTCACTGAAACTAGAGACAGCCCGCGTGCAGCAACGAAAACCCAAGGCAGCCAAAATAAATAAATTAATAAATTTAAAAGAGTTAATCGCCAAGAGTCATCTTAAACACCCCTCTTGAACATCAGAATAGTTAGTTAACTACTGAGATGCCTGTGAGTTCTCCAAATAGAGGTACCTTCAACTCGTAAGCTCTAACATTGACCAATCCTCCCTCCCCCTCCCCCTCCC